GTTAGCTCATTTCTGCCATTTCTGTCAAAATTCGAATCACGAAAAATGCATATAATGGGAGCGTTAGTAAGCAAAATGAATAGCGATTACTGTGCAATGCAGGATAGCCAGAAGCCTGATAAGAATGTTTGTCAAATTTGATTCTATAACACAATGAAACTTGATCTGCTTTCTGAGTTTGTTGCATCAACATCTCAAATTTGATTTCGATGAGCGCCAACAAGCATCTGCTGACCGGATATCTTGCTGTGATGCCTGCTTTAACCAAAATTCAAATGTAGGGCTCTACTTGATTTAGGCTGGAAGGGCTCGGACCATCACAGCTGAGTGACAGACAATCCATCCAATTTACACTCTCTTCTGTTTTCCATATTTGTTAGACATACATACACAGCAGTGTCAGACCGAGGGGGGGGGGCAAAGGGAAGCCCTCCACGTCGCGAAGTTTTTGAAGTCTAATTACATGGATAAAAAAAAAGCAAGTGACGTTATTCCTGCAAGTAATTAAATATTCGTCAAGATTTTTTAAAAAATCAAATTAGCCTCCAAATGATTTTCTTCCTGGGGCGCGGCTGCCGCCATCCCTTTTCTCTAGATTCTTGGAATTACGTGCTCGCAAAATTTTGAAAAGCATCCTAAAAATTTTTTTCGGACTGCATGGCTTACGCTACGCACCCTCATTTGGAAAAATTTCTGCCCTCCCTCCACCTTCCTACGGAAATCCTGCGATCGCTACTAATACCCAGTGTGCCTGAGAAGTATGTGTGGAGAGAAGTATGTAATGACGTTTGTGCTAGTAGCTCTCTTCTCCAAATAGCTTTTGCGGATTCTGGATAGCATAGTAAGGTTCGCTTCAATTAAGATTTACAGTACACAAAGCACCCAAGCTCGTCATTACTGTAGGATTACGGTTGGAACTCCCATCAATTGTCCTCATAGCAAATGGGCTCCCATATCAGATAGAATCTAAAACGTTTAAACCTTTTTTAAGTCTAGTAACTTTATACGTGTTCATATTGGGGTGTAAAGAAAGTTCCCGGGCACTTGCGAAATTTTTTTTTCAAACTGCTGTAACTTCAAGCAGACGGATCCTTCTTAAGACCGCAAACTTTGCTGCGAAGGCAATGTTATGTGAAAGGTATACTATTTTGTTGGGTCCTCAGCACTTCATTTCGGGCCATTAGCATGCGCAGTAGACAAGATGGTCAACTTAGAATTCGGACTATTAGTGTAGGAATTTTTTATTCACGAAGAGAGCTGGAGAGCTTATATCCGATAGTTATGTTTTCCCGGGAGTGAATCGAATTTTTGATTGCTGCAAGTATTGTTGGGGTAATGTTTTGCACATCTTTTGGGCCCATCACGGAGCCGTGACGATCTTCACAAAATCTACGTCAACAGCGAAAATTCGCACGGTCAAAGGCAAGTTTGAGAGTTTGTAATTCTTGTGCGCGTATGTAAAATTCAAGCACAGTTGCAATTCTGAAGTGGACAGCCTGCTTATTCAAAGTGACTACTCTTAAATGATTTTCTTCGTTCACTGCGAAAAAATGGCACCAAAAAGAAGAACTGTGAAGTTTTCATCGTTGACAGACTTCCTTTTTTGCAGTTCGGATCAAATACAGTTTGAATGTGACTGGAAATTTCAGGCTTACTTCTACGGGACTATTTACTATTTGTCGTCAAGGTCCAACCGAGGCGAAAAAAAGGGTGAAAATGAAATTTCCAAAACTGCCCGGGTACTTTCTTCACAACCTAATAGAACAGTTAGATTTTGGTAATTTATAGGTCGTTAACGAGTTGAAGATCGCTTTAGTCAGGCTGATAAAAAAAAATATTAGCTGGGTTTCGTGGTGCAGTATAGGCTTTCACTGGTGCAGCATTTGAATGGTACCATAATTCTTCAAAAATAGAGAGCAATGAGAGACACTTTTTCTTCTGTATTGAAGTTAATTTGAAGTTGAAGCCAGCGCAAGAATCACCCAAGTACACAAAGGTTTTTTGACAAGAAAGCGTTATTATGCAAACGTTAGCTGCATTTTTTGAGAAACCCTACAAAACCGTTAAGCATACTTTCAAGTGCAAAGTACAGCAGTGTCATGTATATTTTAAGCACTCATTTTTTATAAGTCTTTCGCAAGTTGCAATAAATAGTTTGATGTCTCCTTATGCATGTTAGATAGTCTTAATATGAAATTTTTGCAGAGGAAAGGGCTCAGCTTAGTAGTGTCACTACCTAATCGTATACGCTATATTTTCAGAAAAGAGTTATTGTTTTGAGTTTCTCAGGTTTAGATGAAATCTAATATCAATTCCGCTTTTTATTATAATCATTCTACAATCTGATTGCTGAACTTGCTTTTAGAATGAAGAGCATTATTTATGATAGAGTGAGCTCTTTGATCTAAGTGTACTGAAGCAGGTGTAGGAGTTTCAGCGCGTATATAATTATCACCAGGTGCACTTTTATGACGCAATTCAATCAAAAGGTTGATGGAGTAACGAGAAAAAAATTGCTGTCGTAAAAATAAAGCTCTCTCAACAAAAATGCGGCACGTACACAAATGAAAAGCCATGCAAACCTAAATCAGATTTGATTAAACAACATTCTAAAATAGGAATTTCAACTCGAGGCCACCCTTGACAGACAAATGTAGACTCGTCTCTATGCAAATTTAAGTGCTATTTTTATCGCTTTACGCGATAAGGGCTCAATTAGATCGCTCATCGTGAATTATAAGTGGTGCGGGCGTATAATGACACTTTAGCACGCCATAGCGCAAAGGTCTTATAGTAAAAAGGGTAGGTAAACACTTCAAAGGACCTATTACGAGGAGCAGAAGAGGGGTGTACAGGGGGGTTTTGCGGAAATTTATATTCTAAGAACGAACGAGTAGGATATGGCTTCTTTGAATTATTGACTTACGGCCTTCCAGTATTGATTAGCTAGTTTTTGATATGTGGTGTAATTATGTTACTATGGTTTTAGGACTAAAGAGGGAACAATTTTCTCTCTTCCCCTCCCCAATATGGAAAATCACTTTGTCGTAGCAGTATGTCGACATGCAGCACAATTTCAGTAAAAACTTGAATTTTGAGAAGTTGAATTATCTTCATGCACATCTCATAAGTGTATGATTTAGATATTAGACAGTCATTTGCTGCGCGATAGCAGAAATAGCGCAGAATTTCATTTTTACAAAGTGTCGCAACCAGAATTTTTTATCAAAATTTGTTTCGTTAATGTATGCATCAGTCAAAGAAACTTGTCTAAACCTTAGTCGACTGAAGATAGAACTTAATCACACTGTATACGAAAAAAACTTCCAAGAATACGTGTATTATCTCTCTCGGACGAAATTAGAGTAAGTCCACTCCATCCTGTTCTCAATAGTCAAAACAACCAGTCCTACTAAAACTAGCTCAGAATAGGGTTCAAAGCAAGAAGAATAGATTCATGCTGTTACTATAATGAAATGCCTCCATTAGCAAGGAGCAAAAAGAGTATCAAAGCGTGGTGCTAACTTAAATCTAACAGACTCAAGCTTTTAGAGGGAACAACGCATAAAAGTTATTTTGACCACCTTACAACTGTTTAGATTATATGTAAGACGCATAGCAAACAACTTCATTTTGATGAAGTTCGTGGTCAATCCACTGACGCTTTCTATTCCTTGAAAAAAAGCGAAACGGTCTCCCAATTATGATTGAAAGCAAAGACAAAGAGATTTTCTAAAATTTACTGGTATTTTGCGCTTGAGGCCAGAAGAAACCCTAGGCCTTTCTGATGAGGATATTGAACCGATATTCTCACGAACTAAAACAGTTTTATACGGTAGATAGAAGAGCGGAGCAAGAGCGAGGAAGAATACCTAGTTCCTCCCCTCCCCCTTCCTCCTCTAAGTAGGGCCATAAAAAGTGATTAATAAAAGCTATGAAACTATGCAAATGACCTGTCTCTAAGATCAAATGTCATACAAAAATTTTCTTGATTTGGTTCTATAGAGGTCATAAGCAAAAGATGTCCAAACGGCAGGCAAGCTTATTCTCCCCTCAGTAGAAATCGCGTGCCGCTAATATCTACAATTGAGGCTGATAAAAAAATTCCAACAACTGAACATAATGGGAAGAAGCTATTTTGAATAGTGCGCGTAATTCTTACAAATTATACTAGAGGTTTTAGTAGCTGAGGATGCAAAATGGCTGCACTTATATGAGCGAAGATAACAGCAAAGATATATGTGTAAAGTAAAAAATGCTTGTTGTGGTATTCCTCCGCTCTTTCTGATAGAATTAGTGCCACAAATTGCCTCGAGAAAATCAAATATTTTTGGCTTCTGTCAGCGGAAGCATGCTACTATTTTTCAAGACAAAAGAAGAGCGATACGTGACGGATAGAATATTTTCTCATGAGAATTATTCTATGGTTTGAGTTGAAATTTGCTGTATTAAACTTTATGTAAAGGGATTTTGGGCGGATAAAAGATTCGCTGGTGTTCATTTCAGGCAGTGAACACTTTGTACCCTATTTTCAGGTGTATAAGCCGCACACCCTTCTCACTCTAAAGGCGAACAGCCAAAAGACTGACTGTCATTATGGAGCGCGTTAAGTGAGAGCAGTATGCGACAAGGCGACCGCTTCGCGAGACATATGCGCGGCGGCACGCCTGGGTCTGCTCGCGTTTAGAGCAAAAGGTGCGGCTTATACACCTGAAAATGGGGTAGTCGTACTCATGAAAAAACACGCTTAGAACATATCTATACTGAAGCATCCTTTTAGCTCTTTGAATAGCAGATTGTCAACAACTCCAGAATGTAAGATTCTAAGCATAATCGTTCACAACAAAATAAAGACATTCAAGGCAAATAAATCAGCAATGAGTTTTACAATAAACCGGTAATGCAAGAAAGCTCTAAAGATACAGACAGGCATGAGGTTTAGATTGACCACTGAGTTCCTTTATATATTCTCTAGGCACTAAGATAGCCGTCGCAGAACATCATGAGTGTAACGAAATCTAAAAAAAATGGATATAATTTTTCTCTGAACAATGGATATGAATCTTGTAAAGTGCATAGAACTATGGAGTGGGAAGAATTCTGTTACTGCATAAGATTCAGCATTTTGAAAATTGATTTTCGCACTGAAATTGATGATCATGCTAGTTTTTATTCACCCTCTGATGAAAGAAACTCAACACCGTGTTTCAAAAGTTTTCATTGCGTATCTGAAGCACCTAAACATACGAGCTGCTGAGTAAAAATGTAATGCACTGTGCTACTAAGATATTGTTCTTCCAAAAGCTTCATCTTTTTTCTTGCCCTCGGTTTGGTGCAATGGTTTTCAACAAAGTTTATCGTCATGCCGCAGTATTTATCTTTTCCAGAAGAGATTTTCCTTTTTTAATGTTCATTGGAGTTCCTCCAAATTTGTTGCAAAAATTATACGATCAAGGACAAAGGCTGTCAAAATGCATCTTGCTTTGAATGCTTGTTTAAATTTGCTCGACAGCCAATCTATGCAAGCACTGATTCACTTCAGAGGTTTGATAATCATTGCTAAACAGACATGTCTGTCAGTTCTTATGAATGGAGCTACGTTACTTCGGAGTGGACTCTTTAGACTGAGAGAAAACACTATACTCGCGCAGCTTCTTTCCGGTGTGCATTCCATAAAAATTAACTGTCCTTATGATAACAAAAACTTTGTTCAATTTTGCGGAGGTAATTGTTTTGGAGCAGAATGGGCAGGGCTTACAACCTCATGAAATTGCAATGATGAGATTTTTCTAGTTCATCATATTAGGCCTAAGGCATACCTCCCGCGATTTTGCCACATCCACGCGATCTGGCGATTTGCCAGATGTCTATAGATTAACCATGCGGGGGTCTCACATGGATGGGTGCATGGATTCTGTAAGTTGTAGCAAATACACCAAGTCTAGTCCAAGCAAAGTACGTTTACGACCAGTTATGACGAGTCGTTGCAGTGCTAGATCGCGCAGCGACTAAAATCGCGTGAGTTACGCCTCAGGCCTTGAACAGCTTCTTAGGTTTCAAAAGTGAAAAAAAGGTTGTGTAACTACTGTTTCAAATAGCTGTAAATTCTAACTTGAACGTTTTTACATAAATTCAGTTCAAACATTTTTCACGCTTAGATACTTCAAAAATCTTCTATTTTGTTTATGATACTAACGCACAGCTAAGGTGGAATTTGGTTACAGTCGAGTAGATTTCCTGCTTAATATAGTGTCCCTGCAGACGCGACAACGCTTATACGTCAACAAATGCCATTGCGATTTGCCGAGTAATTGTTTTCCACTATTTTCTTTGCTTATTCTTTGTTTTTTAGGTAAGCCTTTGCTGATAAAGGAGAAAAAGGTGAGACAGACATTAGTCTCTGTTTTTTGAGCAATTATACCGTCGCTTATTCCCGAGTATCTACCTATCTAGTTCGTGTGTTAAAGGTATAGTTTAAACGTAAAAGCCTACTAACCTTTGAAGAAATGCTTTACAAGAGGAAAAAGGGGTAAAGTTACAAGAAAATACACATGCAACTAACACGATGACCTTCCACGTAGATACTCGGGAATAAGCGAGAAATAACTACTTGTAAAACGAGAAATACTCCCTAGCTTACCTTTTTTCTTCTTTATCGGCAACGAATTACCCCCAAAAGCAAGGAATAAGCTAGAAAACGCTTAAAAACACAGGGGAGAACTCGCAATGGCAATTTCTGACGCACAAGCGTTGTCGCGTCTGCAGGGGCACTATATTAAGCAGAAAATCTACTCGACTGTACCTCTATCCTCTCTGCATCAGCACTCGACTGATCATGTTTCGTAAGTTTTGTGATGTAGCATCTGTTTGAGCCAGGGAAAGCTGGAGCTGTCGGAGTACCCTGTCTTCATGCCTTGATGTGTAGCGAACTGGTGACAGTCTGAACAGAAACCGATGAACGGCTGGTTTGTGAATAGAGCAACTTTCCAAAAATATTCCAACTATGACCTGTTTTGTCTCACATAAGATTTCCGGTATAGATTTTGTCTCACGTAAGGCTGCCTGTATAGATAAGTCCTCGGCCTTTGCAATGTCACAGGTCGAGCAAAGACGGCGAACTGCTGCTGGTATGGGAGCCTTCCTGCAATAGAATTACTGGTTATAACTTAACAAAATTGTTTGATTGTCAATTCTGTATAGTCAATCTTCGATTTTCACTTTGTGTTTAAAGGAGACTGTTTGGGCGTGAGAGCCTGAATGACCTTTGATATCGCATGCTAAAAAGATTAGATTTTTCAGAAGATACCAAAGAAGATTATCAAGGTAACCTTATTGAAACCTTTCCGGATCGATTTCTGGAAAGAATTGAATACTTTCATCACTGTGATACCGATGAAAACCTGATTACAAAGAATTTTTTAGTTTATGAAAGACGGATATCGCTTTCTGCCAAAAAGATTCAAAAATGTATTGAAATGAGATGAATTTCCATGAAATCATCAAATAATCACTCACTGAACTGAGTTGGTCTGTAGTGAGGGGACCGTGCGCGAGGTACAAGTGTGTTCCTAAAACAAGGTGAAAAAATAACTTGGTGAATTCAATGAACTTTGAAGCCTTACCTGAACGCTGTCCTTCTTGGTGGAGGTGCAGGTGGACGAACACCAAAAGGCAAACGTGGAGTGATCGGAGGACCACGAAACTGTGATCTCTGCACTACTGAGTATTGCTCAGGAGGTGCAGTCACATAGCTGTCGGATCCTGCACTGTAAGTGTTACTCAACAGTGATGAATAAGTTGGTCCTTGCGGTCCTCCTGGCACATAGTAAGAGTTACTAGGAGGAGCAACGTAGCCCTGCCCGATGTAACCGGGAGTAGGGTAATACGGTGGTGGTGTTGGGTAGGTGACCTTCGGGGGACACCTGGTAGTTATCGGTCGCCGGGTGGTGGTTGTCTTTCGGGTTGTGGTGGTTGTGGGTCTTCGAGTAGTAGTGGTTGTAGTTCTTCGAGTAGTGGTAGTAGTGGGTGTCGTCCTCCGGGTGGTGGTAGTCGAGGGTGTGGTTCTTCTAGTGGTAGTGGTGGTGGTAGTGGGTGTAGTCCGGGTAGTAGTGGTGGTGGGTGTTGTTCGGGTGGTGGTAGTGGTTGTAGTGGTGGGTGTTGTTCGGGTAGTGGCAGTGGTGGGTGTTGTTCGGGTAGTGGTAGTGGTGGGTGTTGTTCGGGTGGTGGTAGTGGTGGGTGTTGTTCGGGTGGTGGTAGTAGTCGGTCGAGTTGTGGTTGTAGTGCTTCTGGTCGTAGTAGTCGTAGGTCTAGTGGTAGTTGTGGTGGTGGTGCTAAAATAATTTTTGCACAACTTATTTTACAAATTCTTCTGCACACTTCTCATTAAATTAGTATACCATCAACATTGGTAAATGACACTTTCTTCCTTCATATCAGTGAAATTAATTCATGCAGCTTTAATACTTTCATCTGTTTGAATAGCGAATTCTTGAAATACGTTGAGAACACCGCATGTATATTTGGCATCACGTCTTCTAGCGTAGCGCTAGAATTATAACTTATGCATAGCTTCACAAAAAGATCGGCAATCGCGACAATAACGTTTGAATTAGGATAGAAGTGTATTCCCCTACGCACTGAAGGAAAGCATGTTGAGATAGTAAGAACTAACACAAACAATAAAAGATAAATGATTTGGCGTCCTCAGTACCCCTCGCGGGCATGCGTCGAACGCACTCTACTTCATACATAGTCTCAGTGCTTTCATCATTCCAGATTAATCTGGTACCAATTTACCGTCTCCGGAGAGCAGAGGGCTTTTGGTCCGGCGGAACCGAACCTTGGCCCCACCTGCTTCAAAGCATCAGCTCATACCACTCCCTGATTTCCCCAAAGACTAACAGAAATCCATTTTACACAGATATGAACAACATACGCCCATAAATGGAAAAAAACTAGGAGTCTTCAATCGAATTGACTTCTTACATTCGGAGACTGTGAAAATACTTACGTTCGTGATACGCAAGTCGCTACCGGAAAACACTGAGCTTGATTACAAGGACGTTCCTGATATTCGCATATCTGACTGGCAGGACAATTCAATCGCGAACAAGCATCTGAAAATGAAAAATATTAGAGCAATTAGCATTTTTATGGCGATATAGAAGTTTTCAAATTCTTGATTCTTTAGAGAAAATGGTCAATCAAGGTGAGCCAATTTGCTAATTCATGGTGAAAAGCAGAATTCAGATAAGATGTGCCACAGCTTGGCAATATTTTCTTTTGCTAAAGTCTGCAAACTACAAAATTTCCCACTTGAATCTCCAGGCACACAGAAAGGAGCTGTGCTAGTTGAAGGGCACGTGGTGCCTGTACAGCTGACCGGTCTTATGACACAAACGAAGTTCGGAGCACATTCGACGTCTTCACAGGTCACGGAGACTACCGCATCAGCCGGAGCTGGAAAATTTAATTCAGTAGTCTAAATCACAAAATCAAAGATCACTCACGAAATGCACCATTATTTCCATTATTCTGGGTTTTTACACTCGACAGGACCAGTACCTGGGAAAGGAAGTGTATAAGCAATAATTAAAAGTTATAAAAACTTCCAGTACACCAAGAAATAAACACGTATAAATCGAAGTCGTCGAAAAAATGTTTTCTAATACGATTTATGTGAAGATTTTTATCTCTTAATGATTCAGATAGTGACCGCAGACCTAAATTAGGTATAGAGATGAGACACTTACCGAGACAGTTATTCGTAATAAATGTTCCATTTTGGTCTCTCGCTCTACTGCAGATGTATTTATACAGTATAGTATGTACGGGTCACCAAATCATTTCGATAAGAATCGGTCTCATATTCAGTCTTGAACTCATTTATTAATCGAGTTGCAATCGCTAGCGATCGCATACGCATAGCCTTGAGCTTATTCAAAACAAGATCTGCACAAAAACTTGTCGCTACAATTAGTGGAATTCAATGATGAGTAAACAGCCGTCTTCATGAGTTTTTATTCCTGCAATCGATTTTGTTGAACTGAGAATTAGCTCAACAGATACTCAGCAGAAAACAAAAGCGGTGGATGTCGCATCTTTGTAAAAGATGGGTCTTATTGTTAGTAGTATGAATCTTGAGTCCCACAAAATTTAAAGGCAGCGTCCACTCAAATTTTTTCCTCTCATGTTTTTGCCATTCCGTGGCCTTTCCGTGGCCCTGATTACAGTTACGAAGTTCAAATAGTCCGAAACCCCCCAAAAACCCGATTCCTACGGACTCTGTCTTGAGGGTGCGGTGGCTCTCAGTACATGTGTGGGCGGAGTCTGATAGGATCTGGGGGGGGGGGGGGTAGGCCTGGTAGCACTCTGGCTGTTCCAGGCCCTTATTTCCATTCAGAAACAACATTGGAGGGCCGGACCAATGCAGATGCCCCTCTCGTGGGGCCTATATTCAGAAAGACCCTAATCGGAGGGGTTTAGATTTAGCCTTGACACTGTCTTTAGGAAGTGGTAGTTATAGTTGACAGCTTATATGAAAATAAAAATGAGAAATGAGACAGCGCGAACATACCGTAGTCTCTCGATTTTGAAAATGCTAATTCAAAAATACTCATCACCATCTTGAAATTTGTATTATTCTTGAGCACGCCTTCCAGACAATTTTGCCTTATTTTCAGAAGTTTATACAGCTACTAATGAATAAAGCATGCCTCACGCCTCACAACTATAATAATAAAAGATGTGCAAACTAATAGATGCACCGCCTAACACTGGCGGTTAGATACGTGTAGGGAGGAGACGAGGGGGAAAAGGAGGGAGCGGAAAGAAAGCAATATTTTTTGGAACGAGTGGGCAAATTGTTGACACTCTTTCGTGTGTTTGCCAGATTTTCGTATGCCTGCAACTCCGAAAAGGGCGTGATAGCAACTACTCCTCCGAAAAAATCTTCTCACAAAGCTTGAAATTTTCAAAAATATTCAAAAATTATTTTGATCGTTTACAAAGCGTATACAAATCATTTCCACATTTTTAAATCTCAGGTATGCCAGTTTGCAAGATTTCGCAACGCATATTATCTCTCCCTTCCCTCCCCGCGTTTTCTGCCCCCAAGAACCCCGCTGTAAAATTACCGATCTTCTCCCAGATAAAACTGCATATTTCTGAAAAATTCCCCCCCCCCCCCCTCCCCACTTATTCACAGTCTAGTGCGGTAGCCCAAAGACAATGCCTATAAGTGAAAGTTCGGGAAAAATATGATTAAAGGAAAAAGAAAAAAGACAGGTACGCAAAACTTGCGCGGCTTTCGCAACCGCTGTAAGCTTACTGGTAGAAAGATGACGAGCTTAGAAGCTTTCTTCTTCAGCAAAAAGTCGCCAAAAATTACTTTAGCGAACACCAGTTACCCCTGTCCAACTCCCGGCCGTTAGTATTCAGAAGCATTTGGAGCTCTTTGCAATTACCAATGAACCACAAAAAATTATTAAAAGATATAAAGACGTTGGATCTACGCCCATTCACAACTAAGAATAACCACAAGGAAACTTACGAGGAAAGGATACATGGTCGCAGTGGACTTCCCATATAAGACGTACACTGTTTTGGAGGATACAAAACGTGGTTTTAAATTCTGCCCTCGATATCTGTGCATTTGTAAGAGGAAAGTCAAATTTCCTGGTCAGTTCGGCGCTGTACTTCTTGGCCTAAATGGAATGATGGTAAGTGCAAGAGCACTTTAAGTTGTTGTTGAGCTCAGCCTAGTAACTTCACTTATACTTCACTACCCCCCACCGAAAAGACCCCAGCAAACCAATACCCAATACTCTAGCCTAAATTCGAATTTTACCTCAAAGAATTTCATAACTCCTCAGGCACTTTGCAGATACTAGAGGCAGATTTGGAATCAAGGATTTATGTCCTTCAAGGTAGTTTGCACTTCAAGCCGAAAGACCACTTCGACCTAGTATCCATCTTTGTTAGAAAGTGGATTCTTCTATCAAAGCCTCATTGTCCTTGTCAAAAAATATGGAAGCTTCAAGCTGCTGAGATTTCTTTGTGTAAGTTTGCGTTTCGCTGATCCCTGCTCATCTTCAGTTTTTCGCTACTTTCGCATAAGGTAGCATTACTGGTGGGTATCATCACTACGTTCAATGCTTGACAAAAAAAGTTCGACAATAGTAATGCAGAAAATTGTTTCCAGGAGATCTACTAAAACTCAGTAATCAATCAAACCTCCTAGAAACCAATTTTTGCCAATTTCGGTAATCATGCTACAACATGGGCGGCAGAAGATTTGAGAATTTCTGTTCATTTAGAGCTCGGAGCCAGTCAGCTGCCTGCTACGGCAATGAAGTGGCTTGCCCTGGACTGCTTTCTATCCAGGTTGGCTTTCCTTTATAGAAAGACAGGTTATCACTTTTTGACTGTCAGGGTTTCAAACTTTCTTCCAGGCACAATGTTTTTTGTCTTGTTTTTTTAGAAAATTGAAGGAGGGAGAAGGGATTCATGGTGAAAGCTACACAAATGTTCCTGTGAGTGATTGCTTTGCTGCATGTTACAGTGATG